CGCACTTCGAAACACCAAACTCCAGGCCAATGGCCGAAGCTGTGATCTGGGCGACGTTGATCATGGGCTTCAGCTGGTTGCGATGTTTGGCATACAATTTAATGTCATCCATGTACAGGAGTTGAGAAACGACCTTTGAGACCTGTCCAATTTGCATTTGATATCCGCCGCCTGTCTTCTGCACCTCTCTTGAAATGCAGTTAATAGCTAAGCAAAACAAGAGGGGTGATAGCGTGTCTCCTTGGAAGATACCACGGCGAATCCTGACAGATTCTGTAGAAACCCGTGCATTTTGATATGATAAACTCATGTGCGTATTCCAGAGCTGCATGCTTGCCTCCAAGAACTTGACAAGAGTTGGGCTAAATTTGTACATCTCCAGCATCCGAATAATCCATACATGAGAAACGCTGTCATAGGCTTTCTTGAAGTCGATATACGCAACAGAGATATTGCGCTTATTATGCCGAGCGTGCTCCATTATCATCTTATTGACAAGAAGTTGCTCCTTACAGCCTAGTGTTCCCGGGGTACACCCTCTCTGTTCATCTGGGAGTATCGAATTGGTGTCAATGTGTTTCCACATGAGACTAGCAACTACGGCTGTCAGGATCTTGTATTGTGTGGGTAGACAGGTGATAGGGCGATATTGGGCTGGGTTAGATGTGGGTGGCTCCGTCTTGGGCAGCAGGATTGTGCGGCCAGTCACCAACCATTCCGGAATTGGCCAATCACCGACAAGGGTCTTCTATTATTATTAACTGGTTTTTAGGGAAAGAGACAAACGGGAAAAGTCTGAAGAAAAAATCGACTGTCACCACCAGGACTCGAACCAGGGACCCTCGCTTGTAGCCAGCGATGCTCTAACCACTGAGCTATGGTGTAGTCGTCATCCAAGCAGAGACCGTTCAACGTTTTCTTCAGACTTCGTAACTCACACTTCCTGTGAATCCACACAGGCGGGTGGGACGCAGCCCTCACTGTACCCACACACTTCACGTACAAACTAGCACGCGGGGAGCCCCAAGTCATAAAATATTAACTGGTTTTGAGGGAAAGAGACAAACTGGAAAAGTCTGAAGAAAAAATCGACTGTCACCACCAGGACTCGAACCAGGGACCCTCGCTTGTAGCCAGCGATGCTCTAACCACTGAGCTATGGTGTAGTCGTCATCCAAGCAGAGACCGTTCAACGTTTTCTTCAGACTTCGTAACTCACACTTCCTGTGAATCCACACAGGCGGGTGGGACGCAGCCCTCACTGTACCCACACACTTCACGTACAAACTAGCACGCGGGGAGCCCCAACTTGGCCCAAGTCATAAAATATTAACTGGTTTTGAGGGAAAGAGACAAACGGGAAAAGTCTGAAGAAAAAATCGACTGTCACCACCAGGACTCGAACCAGGGACCCTCGCTTGTAGCCAGCGATGCTCTAACCACTGAGCTATGGTGTAGTCGTCATCCAAGCAGAGACCGTTCAACGTTTTCTTCAGACTTCGTAACTCACACTTCCTGTGAATCCACACAGGCGGGTGGGACGCAGCCCTCACTGTACCCACACACTTCACGTACAAACTAGCACGCGGGGAGCCCCAACTTGGCCCAAGTCATAAAATATTAACTGGTTTTGAGGGAAAGAGACAAACGGGAAAAGTCTGAAGAAAAAATCGACTGTCACCACCAGGACTCGAACCAGGGACCCTCGCTTGGAGCCAGCGATGGTCTAACCACTGAGCTATGGTGTAGTCGTCATCCAAGCAGAGACCGTTCAACGTTTTCTTCAGACTTCGTAACTCACACTTCCTGTGAATCCACACAGGCGGGTGGGACGCAGCCCTCACTGTACCCACACACTTCACGTACAAACTAGCACGCGGGGAGCCCCAAGTCATAAAATATTAACTGGTTTTGAGGGAAAGAGACAAACGGGAAAAGTCTGAAGAAAAAATCGACTGTCACCAGGGAGTAGTACAATACCCACTGTACCGGGAGGTGACACGGGCACACATTCAGGCGGGCGAGCTTTGCCTCAGGTCACTTTTCTGTGGAGCGCTGTGTCCCGGGAAACGTCACGAACTGTCGTACTTCGCGTACCATTTATCGTAGCATTTCGTAGCATTTTTCAAAAAAATTCATAGAACGACTTGAAGAGAGTGGCAGAATGCTGTCAAGAAGTTTTCGAGCAGTACTTTTTGAAGTTTGTTTTGACGATGTAGGGAACGAATCCATCAGTCTTTGCTGAGTGATGAGGATGAATCCTACGAAGGATATCAAGTAGCAGCTGGCCATCGCACGGGTACCTTCAGTGTGTCCAGTATTTACGTGGGCGGCTTGTAAGAGTGAAATTTTCTTCCTATTTTACTTGTATTACATTTAGTTATTCACGTCGTTTCTAGGGGAATAGATAATGTTGACTCAAGTTTTAGTCACAATGAACAACATGTTTCAGGTATGGCTGACCCGTCTCAAGATAGTAAGGCTATTCCGAATCCAGATGCTATAGTCGTCAGAGAGAAACACAAAATAAAATAAATTTTATACTGCAGGGGCAGCTATTCGCAAATGTCACTATGACGCAAGTCTGTGTCAAGCAGGGAGTAGCACAATGGTACAATGGCACCGTGCTACTCCCTGCTACAAAGCCTGAGATGTTACGCGTTAACAGGAACTGGTGTTGATGATAAAGGCAGTGTGGAATTATGTACAATGTTACTGGTGCAAGTGACCATGCCGTGTAAGTCCTGTATGCAGGTAATCAGACCAAGCGCAAAAGGATAAAGATAGCCTGCTTACGTACTTTTCCTAGTACGTGTGCTTATTATAGATACTTTGTGTGACTACTAGTTGTATGTGTCTGCATATTACTATACGTATTAGTACGTAATTGCTTTTACTACAATTTGTAGTTTGTGGGGAGCTGCGTGACGATGAACTAGATACTGTATCAGGGAGTAGTACAATACCGGTATTGTACTACTCCCTGCTATATATGGCCACCAAGAGCATACGCAATCAGAATCGTACAATATCATTACTCCTTGATTATAACCAATGTTACTTTTATGGCACCAATGTTACTTTCATGGCACCGTGGAATCATGTCAAACACAAAAGGATACAGACGAATAGTTGTATGTATGCGCACGTGCGCGTGCGTGTGTGGTGTACAAGTACACGAGGGTGTGTGTAGGTGTGTGAGTGTATATTTGCCAGTGACAAAAGGTTTTGGTGCCACAACATCACCATAGTCATTCTTGTTTTCCAGAACCTGTCCAAGAAGTTTGTCTGTGCAATGGAGACAACACATGTTTTAGTTTTTCCTAGTGACGAGGAGGAATCAGACGAGGTATGCCAAGTAGCCATTGTACCTCAGCCGGATACCTTCAGTGTGTCCAGTATTTTGACATGGGCAGCAGGTAAGAGTGTGTCTTCAACAGAGTATAGTTTGTTGACTTTCAGTTAATCACATTCTCATTTCTCTTTGGGTTACATCTCACCAGATCTGTGCAACGACTCGGACATGCAACGCTACTGCCAACATGAGGTGGCAGTAGCTCAGCAACTCTGCTCACTGGACAAGCACCCTGCAAATGTGGAGCTGTTCATAGTTCACTTTCGGCAGGCAATAATAAATTGTGACCAGCAGCAGACGTTGTTTTTCAAGAACAAGGCCTTAGGAAAATTAAGGAGAGGAGAGTGCACGAATGTCTCAAATGTGTGGACTGATTTACTTCGCAATTCGTCAACCATTTTCCAAGAGCTAGACACCAGTTCTGCAAGTACAGGTAATGTCATCATCATACTGGTCATTTTCTGTTCCTATTGCGCTGTAGAGATTTATTGTACCAAATTGTACTTTGAAGTGTTGTTTTTTTTCATAGACAGTGCGTGTTTGTGTGTGTGTGTGTGTGTGTGTGTGTGTGTGTGCGTGGATTGGTGTTTTGTACAGGTGTCAGAGTATCCGGTGCACTATTTGCCCTTCTTCTTGATTTCACTATGAATAGGAAGCCTGCGTCAGCAGCCACAGCTCCGAGCAACCCTATGCACATGGAGGTTGCTCGCCGCACCATGGATCAAGCAGCTAACTCGGTTGTGAAGTTCCACGGGGGGTGGTGCATAGTTGCAGTGCTTTGCTATTGCTCAACACGCTAGGACTGCATAAGTACACACCAACATCCCAAAAACACAATGCATTGAAACCACTTGAAACCACTCCTGCTATATAATTTGTTTACTTTTTGGGTGAGGAGCAATTGGCGTTGGGCAGGCAGACTTCGCAGCCGCACCCAAGTCGTCGCTCTTCCTCTTCTGTCCACGGGTTCTGGGGGTTAAAAAAGCAACAAAGCAAGCAGGCCTGGCCTCATTCAGTGCTGAAAACAAGTGATCTTGAACATTATGTTCAAGTCTATACAAATAAATAAGTTTCAAAATTTTCGGAATGAGTTTTCCAAAGAGTTACATTAGCTAACACGTTGAGATGAAGTAGAATGGTAGACAAATAGGTATAGTCTCGAAATATCCCAACTTGGTGAGGTGTCCGAGTGGGTCCAAATGAGAAATTCAGGTTCGTGTTACACCATGTCAAGATGAGAAAATTCCATCACGTTACTTACCTAGGATAGCGTCCTCCATATTCGTCACTTCCATCCATTTTGGGAAGTCGAGACTTGGCAGCAGTGTGGACGATGTACCAGAGTAGCTCCCAAAAAAGGCTCGAGCTGAAAAGAACAAGTGGCAGCTTGTCACGAAGGGATACGTCTGGTCTTCTCGTCACTATTTGAAGGTTTCTCAGCGCTGTCAAAAGAGCAAAAATTTGAATTTTCGCGCGGTTTGTATTTTTTTGTGAGGCAAAGCTCGTAATCCCGGATGTGTGCCCGTGTCACCTCCCGGTATTGTACTACTCCCTGACTGTCACCACCAAGACTCGAACCAGGGACCCTCGCTTGTAGCCAACATACCCTGTTCGGATCCGCAAAACCAAGGAGACATGGAGACAAATGGCAGAGCGGCATCTTCCACCATCCCCTGCACCTCTGCCATCCCGTCCTCCACCCTGGTCCTCCGTTCCAAACCTATCTGTTTTCAAGTCCGCTTGCACCCGGTCTGACCCTCCTACTGTACGACTTGTAGAGGCACTAGCATGCCTGGAGGAAGCCTATCGCTCCTGTTGTTCCTCGCGACGTCTAGACATTTGGACAGATGGCAGTGTCTCTGACACCAACGCTGGTGGAGGTGGTTTTCTTGTCATGGAAACCACTGCATCCCAGCGGTCAGAGATACTGTCTGGGTGTCTACCAGCTGGCGCTGTCGCAACATCCTTCACTGCCGAAGTAGCAGCAGCTGGCCTGAGGGCAGTCTACGACCTTACCACCATGGAGACGGACGTTGTGCTGGTCACTGACAGCCTCTCCCTCGTAGATGCCCTCCGTGGAGACCCATACAGGATCAGCCCAGACACCATTGCTGCGTTCGATGCTCTGACAGAGGTTGCTCGGAAGGCTCATTCCATCAACCTTGTCTGGATCAGCAGCCACTGCGGTGTTGCTCTCAATGACAAGGCGGATCGCCTTGCGCGGAATGGAACACAGTGTGTACAGGCCCAGGTTCAGCTACCTATCCAAGCTGCCAAGGCTTCAATTCGGTCTGCAACCGCATACCCCCGGCCATTACTCAACACCAGCAAGTTCCGCAGCCCTCCGTCCCGGCATGAGACCACCATCCTCAATCAGCTGCTCACTGGCCATTGCAGCCTGCTGAATAAGTACTTGTTCCAGATTGAGGCGGCACCTTCACCCGACTGCACTCACTGTCCTGGAACAGTTGATGATGCTGCCCACCTCCTGCTAGCTTGCCCTGCCAGACACAGCAGTCGAGCAGGTACACGTCTATGTACCTTCACATCAGTCAGGGAGGCAATTCTCACACAACCATCAGAAGCTATCCAGTTCTTGCAACTGGAGAAACTGATCTAAGTTTCTACTACATGTACACTGTACTCTCACAGTCATTTTCATATTTATTATGACTTGTAGTTACCGAAGAAGAAGAAGAAGAAGAAGAAGAAGAAGAAGATGCTCTAACCACTGAGCTATGGTGTAGTCGTCATCCAAGCAGAGACCGTTCAACGTTTTCTTCAGACTTCGTAACTCACACTTCCTGTGAATCCACACAGGCGGGTGGGACGCAGCCCTCACTGTACCCACACACTTCACGTACAAACTAGCACGCGGGGAGCCCCAAGTCATAAAATATTAACTGGTTTTGAGGGAAAGAGACAAACGGGAAAAGTCTGAAGAAAAAATCGACTGTCACCACCAGGACTCGAACCAGGGACCCTCGCTTGTAGCCAGCGATGCTCTAACCACTGAGCTATGGTGTATTATTATTATTATTATTATTATTATTATTATTATTATTATTATTATGACGACTTTATTCACTCCCAAAGCAGAAAAAGAAAGCTTGAAAGGAGGCATGAAGCACAGCACCGGGATCCATATGACCCAAGGGTGAAGCACCAATCAATGAAGATAAAAGAAAATCCTGAACCAAATTTTGATAAACTTCATGAGAGAAAAATTCAAGTATACCAACTTCGATACTCACATAGAATCACAGTCATGTATAACAGAACTACTCAAGTAGTAAACACCAAGCATGCTGCACATGGGACACTCCAAGCAAGACAAACTCAGACGAGATAAAACGGCATGTGCAGAGAAAGACAATACATGACTGGGGGCATATGGCAGAAATTCACGCCTCTCGGCTCGTCACACAGCACATGATGCACCACAATCATAAAACACACAGACTGAGACACATGGAGACATTACGGGCAGGCTAACATAAGGTCAACCGACCGTTCCGACCATGCCACTCTCCCATCCATGACCAGTCACCGACCGCACAATTCTCAGGGTGCCCAGAATAGCACATTGCTGCAGCCGCTGGATCACGGACGCGTGGAGCCCAAGGCTTAAGATGTGGCTGCGGCTCGTTCCTGACACACCACCCAGAGCACCAATGATAACTGGAACAATAGTTATCTTTTTGTTCCAGATCCTCCTCAGCTCTGCTGCCAAGGGCAGGTATTTGCTGATCTTCTCCTGCACCTTCTCATTGACCCTGTGGTCCAATGGGACACTGACGTCCAAGAGCAGTGCCCGATCATCCAGAACCAGCACCAGGTCTGGTCTGTTCGCTTTTATTACTCGATCTGTGGGAATGGAAATCTCCCACATCAGCTTGCAACTGGCAGAACTTGTGACCTGCACCAGCTGCTTACTGCTGGGTAATCCATGCTGCTTACACAGCGCACGATGCAGGGCCTGGACCACAAAGTTATGCCGGGCAATGTATGCAGTCCGTGCCAGGGCTGGACAGCAGGCGATGATGTGGTCCATATTTTCTCCGGGTGCACCACATACACGACAGAGGTCCACGACATCATGCCTCTTGTGGATATGGCGCATATTGTTTCTCGTGGCAATCACCTGATCCTGGCAAGCAATGAGAAAGCCTTCCGTTTCAGGACGCATTGTCTGGGATCTGAAACAGGAAAACGAGAGCTGTATGTCCAGGATGCCATCAACACGCGCCCAATAGCGACCATGAAGAGGCATCGCTCGAAGTTCACAGCGGCGGTTGTCATTGAGGGCCTGTTTAACAGTCTCTTTGTTAGCGGTGTCCAGGCTCGTCAGGCGAAGGCGCTGCAGGACAGTATTTGCCAGCTTTGGTATTGATTTTCTAGAGGGACGTGATTCATGGTGCTGGAGAACAGCGGCCAGGGCAGGGACATCTTCCCGATCCTTCAGGTACTGAGCGAGCCGGATGCAAGTACGGTCATGGAGATCTACGATGCATACTAGGCCACGACCTCCCTCACTCCGCGGTAGATATAGGCGACGGATTGAGGCACGTGGGTGGTGGGCCCTGCTAGCAGTCAGAGCCTTCCTCACTGTCCTGTCCAGCGAGCGGAGCTCATCCGCAGTCCAAGGAACGACTGTGCCAAGGCCATAGGACACCACTGGCAGAACGTAGGTGTTGATTGCTCTGATGAGGTTTGGTGCACATAGTGAAGCATCCGTGATCAAGCGAAGACGGCGACGGAACTCAGCGATGGCAGATTGTTTAACTTCACCAGCCTCGATTCCCAGGAATTCCCGCAGGCCAAGGTAGAGGTACGCCGCGCCATCTTGCAGAGGATGAATTATCGACTCTGTTAGCAAGGTTGACGAAGGCTCTGCATCCTGGGTTGGCTTAGCGGCCGGGCAGACAATCTTCGAGCACTTAGTGGGAGATAGTTGCATTATTATTATTATATTATTATTATTATTATTATTATTATTATTATTATTATTATTCAACGCAATAAATAGAGTAAGCTGCGCACTCAGTACAAACACCATAAGCAAAACTTGTTTTCATGTAAATAAAGAAGCTTGTTCCTAAACGTTTTCGTCGCCATCTCATCAGAGGATTACTGGCAAATCAACAAAAGCTCTTAACTCAATATATATACTATATATGTACTCAATCTGCGGACAGCATGCTGTTTCGTTCTTTGTGAACTCTGTATATATATGTATATATGTATTATATATACTATATATGTTTGTACTGAGTGCGCAGCTTACTCTATTTATTGCGTTGATTACATTTTTATCTCCACGGAAGCTTTTTAATTATTATTATTATTATTATTATTATTATTATTCAAAGGATCAGTCGGGGAAGTGAACTGCCTGAAAAGAGAAAAAAACGCCAGACCCACAAGGACTCGAACCTGGGACCCTGCTTGTCATGAGCAATGCTCTAACCACTGAGCTATGGGACCAGGCTGAACCTAGAAGGCTTCTAGGTTCAGCCTGGTCCCATAGCTCAGTGGTTAGAGCATTGCTCATGACAAGCAGGGTCCCAGGTTCGAGTCCTTGTGGGTCTGGCGTTTTTTTCTCTTTTCAGGCAGTTCACTTCCCCGACTGATCCTTTGAATATGAAGTTCTCCCAATCCTTTCCAAATTATTATTATTATTATTATCCTGTGTGGATTCACAGGAAGTGTGAGTTACGAAGTCTGAAGAAAATGTCGAACGGCCTCTGCTGGGATGACGACTACACCATAGCTCGGTGGTTAGAGCATCGCTGGCTACAAGCGAGGGTCCCTGGTTCGAGTCCTGGTGGTGACAGTCAATTTTTTCTTCAGACTTTTCCCGTTTGTCTCTTTCCCTCAAACCAGTCAATATTTTATGACTTGGGGCTCCCCGCGTGCTAGTTTGTACGTGAAGTGTGTGGGTTACAGTGAGGGCTGCGTCCCACCCGCCTGTGTGGATTCACAGGAAGTGTGAGTTACGAAGTCTGAAGAAAATGTTGAACGGCCTCTGCTGGGATGACGACTACACCATAGCTCGGTGGTTAGAGCATCGCTGGCTACAAGCGAGGGTCCCTGGCTCGAGTCCTGGTGGTGACAGTCAATTTTTTCTTCAGACTTTTCCCGTTTGTCTCTTTCCCTCAAACCAGTCAATATTTTATGACTTGGGGCTCCCCGCGTGCTAGTTTGTACGTGAAGTGTGTGGGTTACAGTGAGGGCTGCGTCCCACCCGCCTGTGTGGATTCACAGGAAGTGTGAGTTACGAAGTCTGAAGAAAATGTTGAACGGCCTCTGCTGGGATGACGACTACACCATAGCTCGGTGGTTAGAGCATCGCTGGCTACAAGCGAGGGTCCCTGGTTCGAGTCCTGGTGGTGACAGTCAATTTTTTCTTCAGACTTTTCCCGTTTGTCTCTTTCCCTCAAACCAGTCAATATTTTATGACTTGGGGCTCCCCGCGTGCTAGTTTGTACGTGAAGTGTGTGGGTTACAGTGAGGGCTGCGTCCCACCCGCCTGTGTGGATTCACAGGAAGTGTGAGTTACGAAGTCTGAAGAAAATGTTGAACGGCCTCTGCTGGGATGACGACTACACCATAGCTCGGTGGTTAGAGCATCGCTGGCTACAAGCGAGGGTCCCTGGTTCGAGTCCTGGTGGTGACAGTTAATTTTTTCTTCAGACTTTTCCCGTTTGTCTCTTTCCCTCAAACCAGTCAATATTTTATGACTTGGGGCTCCCCGCGTGCTAGTTTGTACGTGAAGTGTGTGGGTTACAGTGAGGGCTGCGTCCCACCCGCCTGTGTGGATTCACAGGAAGTGTGAGTTACGAAGTCTGAAGAAAATGTTGAACGGCCTCTGCTGGGATGACGACTACACCATAGCTCGGTGGTTAGAGCATCGCTGGCTACAAGCGAGGGTCCCTGGTTCGAGTCCTGGTGGTGACAGTCAATTTTTTCTTCAGACTTTTCCCGTTTGTCTCTTTCCCTCAAACCAGTCAATATTATTATTATTATTATTATTATTATTATTATTATTAAACTCGGATGTTGAGCCATAAATAAATGTAGAAGAGAAAAGGACATATGGATACGAGTTAAGAGTAACTCTCCATCACTGTAACATGATACTTTATACAGTCAGAAAGTGCAATAACTAGGCACAAAACTGACAGAGTACTGAAACATTCGACGTCCTGACACCTAGCTTCAACACATCTCCGTAGCGCTAACCGACAGCCTTCCAACTTGGAAGGTTCAAGGTTATGGAAAGACCAAAGAGGGGAAGGCAAGCGCAACGAAAACGAGCAAAAGCTACAGTCCCAACGGAACAAAGAATGTCGATTGTTACTGGACGATGACGAGACCAGTACGATATTTGACAAAGCGGTCTAACTACAATTCGAAGCAGCAAAGCAGCACACCACCCAACTTGGGTGGGTCATAAATATCAAAGATAAGTAAATAAAGGGAAGCTTTGCGAAAACGAATTGTACAAGCTAGGTGTCAGGACGTCGAATGTTTCAGTACTCTGTCAGTTTTGTGCCTAGTTATTGCACTTTCTGACTGTATAAAGTATCATGTTACAGTGATGGAGAGTTACTCTTA